CAACGCACACCGAGAAGAAGGTGTGTTTGCCGCAGTGCCAACACTTCTTGCAGCTCATCTTGCGAAGCCACAAGCGGTGGGACGAGCGGGTGTACCGCTTCCTGTGGTCCTGGAAGTCCAGCATGAATTCCTCCTCCGCCTCGCTGTCGTCGTCGTCGACCTCAAAGACAGGCGCGTGCCCGTCCTGCAGGGTGTCTCTGTAATTCAATCCCTTCAGGAAGGGTCACGGGTCTCTGTGAATGAATCCCCTCAGGAAGGGGAGGTTCTATCGATAAATCCCCTCTGGCAGGGGTCTCTGTAAACGGATCCCCTTCTCTGTAAACGGATCCCCTCAGGAAGGGGCGCCTTAACCCCGTGTACCCCCAGCTCCTCGCGAGGCCGCTTGCCGCCGCCACCGCCTTCTGGAGGCAGCCCGCCGCCGCAGCCGCCCGACATCATCATGCCGGAAGCCTGGGGTCCAGAACGGTTGCGGCCGAAAGTTTTTAGTCAGACTCAAAAGGCTAAAATCTGGGGGCCTCGTGGGAGGCCCTTCGGGGGGGTGAATGTAATGGAATTTCATAGGAATTCGTCCAATTTTAGACCCCCCTTTTTTTGCTAAAAAAGGTGGGTCTAAAACTCGGCTGCTGGATTGATTTTTTATCGCCCAGATGGCCAAACAAGTGGCCGTCACTCTTACTTTTCTCCTCATCCTGCCCCAACTCCCCCCTTGCATTCTGCTTCCGCGCGGCCTGGAGCGCCGAGAGGCACATGATGAGCGCCCGCATGGCCGCGAGCTCGGGGCGGGGGGCTGGCCCCCAAGCGCGCTGGGCGTCAGCTCTGTCGAACGGTTGCGGATGAAGAACATGAAAGCAAATGGGAGAGGGATGGAACGAGGAGGAAACGCAATGCCATACACATAATGAGTAAGCAGACTGCCGCACCTTTGATCCCCTCCCCGAGGGGTCCCCTCTCGGAGGGGGGCCGTTGCCCTGTCTTATCGCGAGTGTGCTGAAGCCCCTCTTAAGGGGTTCCCCTCTTAAGGGGTTCCATCACTCGCCAATCCATCGCGCGGTCCCCTCACGGAGGGGCGCCCCTGCGATGAGGGGGTGTCGTCTAGCACTGGAGAGGGCGCTCTGCCAACGGGTATGGCGATGGCAATGGCGATGAAGACGGTAAGGATGATGATGATGATGGATGCGATGATGAGGATGGATGCGATTAGTCGCCCAAGCGCTGTGCCACTAAGCGCTCAGCCTCCGCCTTAGCAGCTTCCTTGGTGTCAGCCACGGTGCCGTCGACCAAGGCCTTCTTCAGCTCTGCGCCGATCTCCCTGAGCGTGGCCTCGTCCAAGGTGTCCTTGTATTTTTTCCCGCCGAAACTCACAAACTGGTTCTTCTCACCGTGCGTCCGCTTTAACTTGATAGAGTGGCCCCTCTTGTAGTACATCACGCTGTACCCGCGGTCGGCGTGGCCAGCGGGGGGCCCAGCGCCGACCGAGGGCTCATCTGCAGCATCCCCGGGCTCATCGGGTTCCAGCTGCTCTTCCTCCTCCCCCTCATCGTCCTGGTCCGTCTCCGTGTTCGCGGCGGCTGCACTGGGCCTTCTCATTGCAGGCTTCTTTGCCACTACATGTCCTGCTGGCTTCCCTTTTTTGCACGCTTTCGCCTTCGCCTGCGCGGCTGCCGCTCTTGCTGCCAGGAGGGCGTTGGGCTGCTCCGTCTTCTCCGTCCTGCCGTCGGGGAACACGGCATCCAAGAAACCATCGCCTCCTTTCGTCAGTGTTCCCCGCTCCTCCCTGTCTGCGAACTTCATCGCCATGCACATCGGCTCGGAGTTGAAATCGAAATACGTGGCCAGGGGATCCTGGGGCGGGTCTCTCACTTGCCCCTCCCGAGCTCCCCTCCCGAAGGGGTTCGGTTACGCCGTGAAAAATCAAAACTGCTCCCCTCCCCCCCCACCCTGCCCGCCCCCTCCGATCCTCCTTCGGGGCCGCGGCGGGCGGGTCAGCGAGCTCGACGTCCTCCTGCGACGAGAACACCACCATCGGGCTCCACGTGGCAACCTTCTGTTTCTTCCCTGCCGGTTTCGGAGGCGGGCTGATGCCGAAGGCGTTCTTGATGACATTGCGCCTGCTGCCCCCATCTGCGCTGGACGACGCGGCGGCCGTGGAAGATTTTGGAGGGTTCATCTCTATGTCGGAGCTGCTGTCGGCGCGTTTTTTGCTCTCTCCTGTGCTTGGGCTTGCCCTGCCAGGCTGCAGCCCCATTGCCACCCCAAGCATTTTTGCGTGCGCCTCCAGCTTCCCCCCCGTCTTGGCGATGTAGAACTTGTTGCAAACATGGCTGAAAGCGTTGGCCACCTCCTGGCAGAAACGCCTACACTCTTCCTGGTGCATGTTCGGCTTCTGCTTCAACACGACGTCCTGGAGGTTCTTCCATTTGACGCGTGTGGTGAGCTGCGCAAGCGGCAAGAGAAACGGCATGTTGTTCTTCATGAAGTCATCTATGCCCCCTTGCAGTTGGCATTTTTCGATGAGATCAATGTGCTGTTTCACGAGCGGCTTCAACTGTTCCTCAGTCACAGAAGAAGCCCGTATCTTCACCTCCGTCTTGCCCTTGACCATTGCCCACCCCCCGCGCAGTGCGCGCAAGCAAGAGTAGCGCTATGTGCCCTCGAGCCTTCGCAGCTGCGGGATGTTGTAACATGCACGCAGTGTGATGCAGCCGATACCCCTCGCTCAGGGGACGCATGCCCCCTCACTCAGGGGATCCTTAACAATGCGCGAGCGAAGAAAAGTACGACCTGGCCAAAAATCATGGGTTGGACTATAGTGCGACCCAAGGAAAGTGCCAGGTCGATCTATAGTTCGACCCCGCACTATAGATCGACCTTGGAGTCTCAAGGTTGAGACATCCTCACAAGACCGGCCCCGGGGGAGGTGCCCAGAGGAGCCCAGAGCGGCCTCCGGCACCGTTTCCGGACAGATCCGGTGGATCCGCCGACGAATCCCAAACCGGCGCCCTCGCTTGAGACATCCTCACAAAACCGGCCCCGGGGAGGTGCCCAGAGGAGCCCAGAGCGGCCTCCGGCACCGTTTCCGGACAGATCCGCTGGATCCGGTGGATCAGCCGACGAATCCCAAACCGGCGCCCTCGCTTGAGACATCCTCACAAAACCGGCCCCGGGGGAGGTGCCCAGAGGAGGAATGAGGAGGAGGAGGAGGAGGAGGAGGAGGAGGAGGAGGAGGAGGAGGAGAAGATGATGGAGCTGCGGGGTGGAGGAGGACAGACGGAGGCAAGAGAAGGATGGAGGAGGAGGAGGAGGAGGAGGAGGAGGAGAAGGAGGAGGAGGAACCTCATCCTCACCCTCGCCAACAAGCGCACGCACCTTCTTCTATATACAGAAACTCCCGATCAACCGCAGAGCGGCCGGCTAGTAATAATAATAATAATAATGATAATAATGATAATAATATTAATATTAATAATAATAATAATAATAATAATAATAATAATAATAATAATGATGATGATGATGATGATGCTGATGATGATGACGATGATGATGATGATGATGATGATGATGATGATGATGATGATGCTGATAATAATAGTAGTAGTAATAATAATAATAATAAGAATAAGAATAATAATAAGAAGAAGAAACAGAGAGATAGAGAAAAAAATAAAATCAAAACAAAAACGGTCAGCACCCTCTCATACAAGTGCCAGCTCCTCCCACTCCCGCGTCAAGAGGTCGCGGACGAGGCACGTGTCCTCACCCGCCTCCTCCGTACCCCTGGCCCGTAGCTCCCCCTTGCTCGCTTGAATGGATCTGCAGGCTCTCGGGGGCCCTCCGGCCCCTCCGATTCGATCGATGGCGCTGGCGGCGCGGATGCGTGCTGCTCGGGCGACTGTCAGCGCGTGGCCGCAGATGTGCACGCGCCTCCTCGCGGAGGCCGAGGAAAGCATGTCAGTAATGCGCTCTGTCACGCGCAGTGGGGGGAGAACCTGAAGGTCGACGCTCTGGAACGAGCCCGCCTTCGCATGGCCGTTTTCAGCTGGCGGCGGAGGCCGCTATTCTCCTGGGCCCTCGGGGGGATACGGCGGCCCACAGCGGGCCAGAGCTCCTCGGGAGCGAGAAGAGGGGGCGCTCTCGACTGGCCCCGACGATGGGCAATCTCGCTTGTTCAGCCTCTGCTGATGTCTGGCTGTTGGCAGGCCCCGCTGGAACTGCCAGCGAGCCCTCGAAAAAAGGGGGCCTCAGGCGCGAGGAACACCCTCGCATCAAGACCCAGAGGACACTCCAGCGCGGCATCACCCCTGTGTTGTGTCTCTCTGGGGGGCGCGCCCTCCTGCGCGTTGTCAAGGAACGGCTCGGCCGCTGGTTTAGAATGCTGCAGCGCGTGGACTGGGAGGCGGTTCGGGAGACGTGCAGCGCTCCCCCCCCCTCGTGGAGAAGAGCGGCCATTCGCACCTGGACGGGCGGGTAGGTGTGCGACACCCAGCTTCCAAACCCCAACCTCCGCTGCATCATGAGCTGTGATGCTCCAGAATCTCTCGCTCACTACGCGAGGTGCCCTGGATTCCTTTCCTGGGTGGCTCCGCCGTCGTCGATGCTCCAACTTTTGGCCCTCTGCCCCTGCTCCCTCCAGCGGCTTCGGTTTGCCATGATCCTTTATCACCTCCATCGCCTCCTCCACGGTAGATGGAGAGGACTTGGAGGATGGGTGCCCTCGGGTTCCGAGGCGGCGGGTTTCGCCCGAGCTGCGCGTCTTGCAGTTGACCTTCCGCGCAGCGCACAGTGCGGGTTGCTCGCTGATGATTGCGAACGGAGCTTTCTTGGGGGCGCTCGGCCTCCTTCTCCTCGCTCCTCCTCCTCCTCCTCCTCCTCCTCCTCCTCCTCCTCCTCCTCCTCCTCCTCCTCGTTCTCGTTTTCGTTCTCCTCCTCCTCCTCCTCCTCCTCCTCCTCCTCCTCCTCCTCCTCCTCCTCCTCCTCCTTCCCCTAGAGAGCCGACCGAGGCCCCGCCGGTTGTGTGCCACAGGGCGCCCGGCGTTGCGCAGGGCACGGCGCAGGGCGTGGTGCCTGGCGGGGTGCAGCAGGAGGAGGAGGCGGAGGAGGAGGCGGAGGAGGCGGAGGAGGAGGCGGAGGAGGGAGGGGAGGGAAGGGGTTGGGGTTGGGGTGGGGTTGGGTTGGGGTTGGGGTAAGGGTCGGATTGGGCTGGGTGGTTAGTTGTGAATGGAGGGGAGGGGAGGGAGAGGCGGGAGGGATGAGGGGGAGGGGGAGGGGAGGGGGGGATGGGACGGGGATGGGGATGGGGAGGGGACTGGTGAGGGAGGGCGGGAGGTGCATGTTCGATGGCGGAAGACGGATTTCGAGAGGGCCGTCGCTCTCCGTTTGCTGAATTATGAGTTCATGTTTACTTGCGCCCGGGAACCCATATCCGCACACGCCTGGCCCCGCTAGCCACTCGCCTTGAAGTTGGACGTCGCAGCAGCAGCAGGGAGGGAGGGAGGGAGGGAGGGAGGGGGGGGAGGGGCGGGAGGTGAGGGGAGGGAGGGAGGGAGGCAAGCTAGGCGCTCGCGTCATATCGACGTCCCACCCCTCCCTCCCATCCGTTACCATGGCGTAGATGTCCTCTCTATTCGCACAATCAGATGTCGTAGCATGACATAGCATTACATGGCATAGCATGGTGTTGAATATTAACGCGTAGCATTACATAGAATGGCGTGGCGACGCCCCAAAGTGGGGGGGGGCTTCCGCGGCCCAACAATCAACGAAACGACACCGAATGTGTAGTCATTTCCGATGGTTTCTTCGGGAAGCCATCTACTTTGGGGCCAATTTGGAAGGACCGCAACCATGCCGTGGCATGGGATTGGAAATATTGACGCCAGCGTTCCAGCGGGAGCACGATTCGGAATGAGCGGAAGCGCGGAAATGAGGCCAACGCTGCAGCGGGAGCACGATTCGGAATGAGCGGTAGCCCGAAAATGAGGCCAGCGCCTCAGCGAGAGCAACATGTTGACAAAACCCCAAGCGCGGAAGCGCGGAAATGAGGACGCGTAGCCTGACATAGCACGGCGTGGCGACGGGGTGCTTCTTCGGCCCAAAAATCAACGAATCGACACCGAATGTGTAATCGCTTCCGATTGTTTTTGTTCGGGGGGCATTTTTAAAATTTTGGGGCTATCTGGAAGGACCGAAAACCATGCCGTGGCATGACGCTGGAAATAATGACGCCAGCGCTGCAGAAGGAGCACGATTCGGAACGAGCGGAAGCGCGGAAATGAGGCCAGCGGCGCAGCGGGAGCACGATTCGGAATGAGCGGTAGCTCGAAAATGAGGCCAGCGCTTCAGCGAGAACAGCATATTGAACAACAACCCAAGCGATAATCCGTTTCCCGGGAATCTTGTGTCCATTCCCCGGACGCCACCATGGGGGAGAGGAGAGTAGTATTCATATTGTGCCATTGTGGATGGGGAGGGGAGCGGAGGGAGAGATGGGGGAGGGGGGGAGGGAGGCGGGGAGGGAAGGGGGCAGGCGAGGAGCCCACAAGTACACACCACCACTGCCTCTGTCATCCTGCCCTGGGCGGGGCTGGGCTGGGCGGCTTCCGGCAACGTGCCGTGGAGCTGGCGCCTCTCTCCCAGGGCAGGCCCACGGCCGCCCCTGCAGCGAGGAGTGCGCGCGGCGAGACCGTGGCGGATGCGGACGCGATGGCCGCGGCGCTCCGGGCTCACTGGTCGTCGGTGTTCGCCTCCTGCCACGCTGACCGCCGTCGCATATGCGATCAGCTTCGCGAAGACGTGCTTTCCGAGGGGCTGCCGCCGCCAGACCCACTCACGGGCGCGCGCTCGAGAGGACATCTGGGCTGCCGTGGAGGCTCCGCCAAGCAGCGTTCCCAGGCCTGACGGAATGCCATGTCTCGAATAAGAAACAGCTACATAAACATCAACTTTTGGCTCTTGGATCGGATTTCTTGGATCGGCGCTGGGCCCACCTGGCGGCGCCCAGCGCGGATCCGAGAACTCCACGCGGAGCTCCAACAGTTTATGTTTATGTGGTTTCTTGCTCCTCTGGCCCGTTGGATGTGTTGCATGCTTATGCGTTTTCTTTGTTCTTCGGCATGTTTTGTGAAGTTGTATGTGTCTGTGGCTTTTTGTTGTTCCTCGCTTGGCGAGCATTGGGCCCGTTTGCCGTGGATGTCCTGCATGGTGCGCTGCAGCATCTAGCCTCTGACCCTGGGTCCCCCGAGCTTGCGAAGTTCTTGGGGGGGCCTTCTGCCCTCTACTCCTACTGGCTTTCAACATTAGCATTACGGCTCTGCTCCCAAAGGCGCCCTCGGGGAACGACGAGCATGCTGGCGAGATTCTACGACCCAGGCTTCTGAACATCGTGAATTGCGACAACTCTCGCCAACGCCGTGCGTATTCGGATGGAGCCCTTGCTGACATCTTGGATCTGACCAGGGCAGCGAGGCTTCGTTGGCGACGGTCCATGTTTGCTCACGCGGTCGACGTCAACATGGCCATGATGCTTTTTGCCTTGAGCGACGAGGCAGGCATGGCGGCGTTCTTCGACCTAAGGCGGCGTTCCTGAGTGTTGCACATGACTCTTTACGGGGAGCCCTCGCCGCAGTTGGTTTCCCTCCGTGGGTGCTCAGCTTCGTCGCCGTCCTTCACCAGAGAAGCACTTGTGTCATATTGGCTGAAGGTCGGCGACAGCAAGGGCTCCAACTTCTGGCTGGCATCTGGCAGGGATGCCCTCCGTCACCGTTGCTCTTCGCCGCAGCGGAGGATGTCTTGCTTCGCCGGATACGCGACTGGTCCCGGATGCGTGCGTTCGCGCGTACGCCAGCGATGTCGCCGTGGCGATCCCTTCCGGCGCTGCCTCTTTCCTCATGCTCGTGCAGGTCTTCGAAGAGCTGTCCCGGATTCCGGGGTTGCGGCGGAGCGTGGCCAAGACAGCAGCAGGTAGTTGAGTACACATGACGTGGCCGGCTTGGGCGAGCGCTGAAGGCACAAGTGGCCACATGTCTTTCTAAAGTCCGGCCCTCGTGTGGCAAGGCACGGTGATTCTCCACATGTGTATCCAGCAAGTGGCCTACTGATGCTCCACATGTGCATCCGGCCACGTATGTTTCCAGCTTCCTGGTAGCAGTGCTGCTTTGCCCCTGTGACCTGGTTGCGGCGGCAGCGGAGCTTGCGACGAACTTCCCACCGCGGGCAGGGACCCGCGCGGATGGGTTCGCGAAGAAACTGGGGTTCGTCTTCGGCCCCGGCCGCGGGCAATGCGCCTTCGACAAGCCTGGGGAAACATTCTTGGCGCGTGCTCATGGATGGGTGGAAGCACGAGGTGGTCTTTTCGTCACCGCGCTCGTGTACACGGTGTACAGATTGCCCGTGGTCACTTTTCTGTTGCAACGCACTTCTAGACGCGTGGGAATCGTTCGAGGAGGTCACCCTGCGCCCCCTCTTTCCCTTCCCAGTGCGTGGTGCATTCCTGCGGGCCTTCACCACCTGAAGCACATAGGGTCCCCGCTGTCGATCCCCGACGCTGCCCAGTCTTTCTTGGCAATTCGCCTCAGGGTTGCGCACTGCGAAGTCACCGCCGAGGGGGGGCTCAGCAGTCTGGGAGAGGGCGCAACAGCTACGGCAGTGGATGCCTGGCACAGAGCATCTAGCTCGTTTGGCAGCGTGGCCCTCTTGGTTCCGGAGGACAATCATTTTTCACCTGGACGAAGTTGTATCGCATTATGCGAGGCTCAGGGCACGACCAGAGGATCTGGAAAACCAGATAGCGTTGAATGAGCTTCGTCCGCATCCGCAATACAGCAGTTGCAGTACGCTGCTTTTTCCAGCGGTGGGCGGTGGCGGTGCTACCACAGCAGCCGCGCCTAGATAGAACTCCGCGCCTGGCACAAGCTCGCCAGGTGGATCGTCACACGTCACGGAGTACCCGCGCATCCGTGCTCAGTTCTGCTTGCCTGGTTTACGACAGGTGGTGCCTTTGGTCCCGCCGCGGGTGCTGGCCGCCGCGTGTCGTACTCGGTAGAAAGGTCGGGTGACACACCGCCGACTCCCAGCGGCACAGGTGTCCTCAACTGGTGCGTTTTCCGCGGCCCTTCCGCGCCGGATGCCATCGATCATGACGCCGCATGTCCAGTAGCTCGGCGCTTCGCTGCTGCTGGTCTCGGGTTGCGCCGCCCTGGCACGCGACCAGATTGCTTGACATGTCATCGCGCGCGATGGATGCCGCTCCAGACTTGCTGGTGTGGAAAGCACTGCTGACAGCCGCTGTGCACAGAGAGCACGATCTTGTTCGACACAACTTGGTGGGCACTGGGAGACAGTTCACGAGGCGCGCGGCGAGCTCGTCTGGGGCCACTCCGGCTGCTAAACGAGGCCGGTGTTGGCAACAGGCACGATGTTCAGTTCGGCGCTATCTAGCGCTAGCGTGGTGCCCATCACGGCGGAGTGGAGCACTACGTCGGTATCTTGCACCACGGAGTCAAGCACTACCACGGTGTCCGCCGCACGGGTTGCGAGCATCACGTCGGTATCCAGCACTACGGCGTCGAGAATTACCATGGTGTCCACCACGCTGGGGCAGCGCCTCCTCAGCTTGCCGCTGCTGGGCCGTTGCCGCCTGTGCTGCTTCAGATACCTGCGCTACGTGGGCCTCGGGCGGTACGCCTGCAAGCCAGTGAGGCGGCGCCGAGCGTGATTCCCTGTTGTTGCCCGCCTTGCTATCCCCTTCCTCCCCCTCCTTTTCCCCCTCTCCTCCTCCTCCTCCTCCTCCTCCTCCTCCCCTCCTCCTCCGCCTCCTCCTCCTCCTCCTTCTCCTCCTCCTCCTTTTCCTCCTCCTCCGCCTCCTCCTCCCCCTCCTCCTCCTCCTTCTCCTCCTCCTCCTCCTCCTCCTCCTCCTCCTCGTCCTTCCCTCCCCCCGCTCCTCCGAATTGGTGGCGAGCTCGCGCACCGCGTGCGTGGGCAGTGCGTGTGGCTCTACTCGTGTTCGCAGCTGGCCGAGCCTGGTCATGCGCTACGCGCATTGCTGGGCGTTCAATTCCCCGCCCGGGCCCGCTTTGACTACCGCCAGTTCGTTGGCGAGTGCTCGCGCCCAACAGTCCATAGTCACCTGTTTTCTCTGCTTGTTCCTCTCCTCATTCCCTCTTTGTCTTCCCCCCCCCCTCTCCCCTGCTGATTTCCCCAGAGTGGCGTACGAGGAATTCAGTGTATGTGCCTATCAGTTGTCACGTACTGTGTTGCAGTTTGTTGATTGTTGTTGTATGACGTCCGGTTATTTTAATGATCTGTTTGATCATACGGTGATGCACACACTCAGCGCTTCGATACATTTGCGTTGGCATCATTGTTGCGTTAGTGTCCTCCTTCCCCCCCTCTCTTGCTTCCATTCCTTGCTCTTCCCGTTCTTCCCTCCTGTGTTTGACGATGGCCTGACGTCGAGTGCAGTTGACATCCCAGCTGGTGATGTGCTGCGACTCTGCTTTAGGGTCGTTGCTTCGGCCAGGGCGGTACAGCGCTGCACAGTGCGGCATCAGCCTTCACACCTCTCGATTGGGGCTGCGGATCTGGCCCGCATTCTCGCTTCACTTGGCTCGTGATGCGATGTGATGCGAGTGGCACGCGCGCGAGCTACAGGGCCATCTCCGCAACATGCGGATGTCTGCGAGGAAGAAAAGGATGAGTAAAACGCAAAAACACTCATCCCCTCCCCCTCCCAGGAACGAGGAGGGGAAGAGGGTGGAGGAGGGAGGGGGAATGGAGGTGGTGGTGGTGGTGGTGGTGGTGGTGGTGGTGGTGGGTGTGGTGGTGGTGGTGGGTGGTGGTGGTGGTGGTGGTGGTGGTGGGTGGTGGTGGGTGGTGGGTGGTGGGTGGTGGTGGTGGTGGTGGTGGTGGTGGGTGGTGGTGGTGGTGGTGGTGGTGGTGGTGGTGGTGGTGGGTGGTGGTGGTGGTGGTGGTGGTGGTGGTGGTGGTGGTGGTGGTGGTGGTGGTGGTGGTGGTGGTGGTGGTGGTGGTGGTGGTGGTGGTGGTTGTGGTGGTGGTGGTGGTGGTGGTGGTGGTGGTGGTGGTGGTGGTGGTGGTGTATATTCTTCGGACCCGCAGGAGGGGGGAAGGACGAGGACGAGGGAGGGAAGGGGGGCCAGGGTGAAGATGGGGAGAGAAGGAGAGGGGACATGCAGGTGCCGCAAGCCAGAGAGGAGAAAAGGCAGAGAGCATGGATCGAGCGAGAGGGGGCGACGCGCCTGTGGTCGTCAGCGTCACCGTTAGCCCCTGTCGTCGGCATACCCGGCGAGGCCGAGGATGGACATGGGGCGCGCTGCCGCGTGGTCGCAGAGGGAGCAGGAAGCAGGGAGGGAGGAGGGAGAGGTGGGAGGAAGGAGCAGCGGGGGAGAGGAGGACGGAAGGACAGGGGGGGAGAGATGGCAGGAAGGAGCAGGGGGGGGAGAGGAGGAACCACCAGCAGCGGCAACAGCGCCAGGCTGTCGGCGCGGGCGGGCCTGGGCTGCTGGCGCCCCAGTGGAGGGAGGCCTCGCCAGCACCGTCGCGCCGGGGCCCGAGCGGCCCGGGGGGCGAGCAGGAGCAGCAGCAGAAGGAGGGAGGACGGAGGAGGGGAGGGGGACCGGGAGGGAGGCAGTGAGAGAGTGAAGGAGGTGGGAAGACGAGGAGGAGGAGGAGGAGGAGGAGGAGGAGGAGGAGGAGGAGGAGGCGGAGGCGGAGGAGGAGGAGGAGGAGGAGGAGGAGAAGGAGAAGGAGGAAGGCGGAGGGGTGGAGGCTCACAAGCCAAACCTGCAAAGCCCAGCGTCCAACCTTTGGAAATTGGTCACCCGCGAACCCAGGAAACAACTCGGCCGAAACCCTGAACCTAGTCGGCCGAAATCTCAGAAGGGTTCCGCCTGAGAGTGGGCGCATGCGCTGTGGGTTCCCATGCCTCGCCGGTCTGAATTTGAAGCTGAGCCATTTTCTTCCCGCCTTCGCTGGCTCGTTTAGGGGTTCGTACCTATCCTAGGCCTTCCCTCTGCCGGATTGGTGGGGGGAGGGTCCCGAGAGGGGGCGACAGACGAGAGAGGGCGGACGCGGGGGACGAAGGGAGGACCACGAGCAGGGCCACGATGACGGTGGTGCGCAGGCCTTCGTGCCGCTTCGCTCTCCGGCCGAAGGCGCCTCAGGATCGTGCCTCGCGCGCTCGCGGCGCGCGCCATGGCCAGAGGCTTCCCGCCAGGCGGCGGCGCGCCCGTCCGCCGTGCGGGCGTCTCCGCCCCGTCCTCCGTCGCGGCCGCGGCCCGTGTCGCCACGAGCAGCAGCGTCTCCGCGCCCGCGCCTGGAGCCTTCGAGCCTCGACAAGCAGCGCCTCGAGCCCTGGAGCCTTCGAGCCCTCGAGCCTCGAGCCTTCGAGCCTTCGAGCCTCGAGCCGTGCCGTCCGCCGCCGCGCCCCTGCGGCCTCGGCCCGTGCCGCCTCAGCGCCAGCAGCAGCACGTTGTCGCGGTGAGTGTGCTCCTCGCTCGGGTCGAACCCGAGAGGGGCACGCGACTGCTCCTCCTCCTCCTCCTCCTCCTCCTCCTCCTCCTCCTCTCTCCTCCTCCTCCTCCTCTCCTCCCTCCTCCTCCTCCTCCTCCTCCTCCTCCTCCTCCTCCTCCCTCCACCTCCTCCTCCTCCTCCTCCTCCTCCCTCCTCCTCCTCCTCCTCCTCCTCCTCCTCCTCCTCGAGAGAGAGAGAGAGAGGACTGCCCCCGCCGTTTGAGCATCTCCGACAATTTCGCCACATGTTGTGGCTGGCGCTGCCCTTCTTGGTTTCGGCCTCAGCCTCAGCAGTGTGGTGCAGGCCTTGCCTTAGGCAAGGCCGCCGATGCCTCGCCACTCTTGGGTCGCCCCAGGAGTGCCTGTCGCAGCCGCCGACTGAATGTGCCGTTGTTCATCAGGAGTGCGAATCTCAGTATATCTATGCCGATTGTAAGACGAGCATCTCCTTAGTTTGTGTGAGAGTAATCCTCACCTCCTTTCCGTCGCATTCCTGGGATTCAAAACATGAGGCGCGGTCCCCATAGGGAGGAGGCTCCCGCTCGAAATTTCCTCCATACTCAATCGTCGGGAGCTCAAAAGTGACGACAGATACAGGCTTGGAATGACCCCATGGGATCAAGAACATGAGGTGCGGACCCTATAGGGAGGGGCCTCCCGCCTGAGACTTCCTCGCAATTCACTCACAGACAAGGCCCCCCGTATGATATTTCCTCCGTAATCAATCGTCAGGATTTCAAAAGCGACGACAGTCACAGGTTTCGAGCGACTCCTTGAGATGAACAGCGCGAGGTTTGGGCCCCAGAGGAATGGGGCTCCCGCCTGAGATCTCTTCGCAATTCACCCGCCGACGAGGCCCACGCTCTGAGATTTCTGGAAGATTCGAGCCTCAGGGGCTCAATAATAATGATAGATACAAGTTTTGAGCGAACCCCTCGGGGATTTACAACGTCAGGTGTGGGCCCATAGGAAGGGGGTTCCTGCTCGAGGCGCCAAGGCCTCCGCCTGAGATTTCCTCAAGTTTCAAGCATCGGGGGCCCAACAGTGACGACAAATACAGGTTTCGAATGGCCCCTTGGGATGAACAACGCGAGGTGGGTATGCCGTAGGGAAGGGCTGACGCTCAAGACGTCTTCGCGACTTACTTGCAAACGAGGCTCCCGCTGTAGACTTCCTCGAGGTGGTTGTGCGAGTGTGTGTGTGTGTGTGTGTGTGTGTATTCGCGTACGTGTGTGGATGTGGGAATATGTGGGTGAGTGCGTGAGTGTGTGCGGTGAGATGAGGAGAGGGGCGCGGGGAGTGCACTACGCGTGGCATCCAGAGAAAACTGACCCATTTGGATGTGGTGAACATCATCTGTGGGGGGGGGCTTCACCCCCCGCCTGCCGCCCGAATCCGAGCGACGACCCGACTCGGGGCAGGCGGCTCTGCGACAAGAGGTGCGTGCCCTCATTTTGGTCGAGGCGCGCCGCTCGGCAAGGTTTGATTTCAGAAGCGGCCGTTCCGCCAGTGGACGTGGAAAGGGAGCTCACCGTTGCCAGGCGAGAATCCCGTGGCGCGCGGTGCGATACACGCAACTGGACCTTGGTTGCTGGGCACACTCCTGGCGGCCTAGCCTGTTTCCCGCTGATTCCACGTTGCACGAGCCGCCGAAAAGTCGGAGGGAAGCGGAGAGCACCGAATGTATCGCGAGCCGGATGTTGATCATGATAATGGTGAGGACGATTGTGATGACGATTACGAGGTGATAGCGGCGATCGCTGTCAACATTGTGTTGGTCAGGTTTCCCCGACGCCACTCCTGCAGGGGAAGCGCGCCCCCGTACAAGGGAGGCTCATTTCTCAAAAAGGACGGCACTTTCCCTGCAAGGAAAGAGCGCACACACAGTCAACCCGCATAGTAAGGATGTGCAACCTTCCCAAGGGTACCTTTGCATCCTTGCCTCCTCGGCCCATCCTTGGCCACTCTCGTTGGCCGCGCCCCGCTCGAGAAGCTCCGAATTGGCCTTCCAAGGCCATTGCGTCCTCATCGCGCATCCTTATGCTACGGGCCTCGGAAAAATAGCGAACACTCATGCCACATTCATCTGTCAACGCCTCCCCCTCCCTCCAATGTTCAAAGTTGGCGGTGGCTCTGGCTTGTTGCACCTCGACCGCAGTCTCCCCCGCGCGTGCCAACTTTGAGTTTGGGGGGGGAGGGGGAGTGTTCGGTAATTGTTTCCCTCTACCGTACGGGCCGACTGTACTCCCCAAAGGAAGGTGCACTTCCCATGCAAGGGAAGGGCACGCTCCCCCCCCCCCACCCCCCCCGCAGAGGGAGCGCGCCTCCCCGGCGAGAGGGGGAGAGCGGGCAGTTTGGTCCAGGGTCGGCGCGCCTTCCCCCCCTCGGCCAGAGCTGATCCGTCGGCATGGCGGGATTCGTCGTCTCGCGCCCTGGCTGCATGCCGCTCGCATCGCAACTGTTGCTGACGCCTCGGGTTCGCCGCCCCCCCCCCCCTGGCTTCTGTTTCGTAGACAGATTCAGGGGGGGAGGCGCAGGAGGAGCAGGAGGAGGACAGATGAGGGAGGGGAGGAGGCGGGATAGAGGAGGCGGCGGATAGAGGAGAGCGGCGGACGAGAACGAGGACGGGGAGAAGGGAGGACGGACGCGCGCGCGCGCAACGATGGAATGGACAGCTTCTGTTCTCAAATCTGGGAGGACGGGGAGATAGGAGAGGCGGAAGAAGTGGAGGAGAGGGAGGAGCACTAACACGAACACGGTAGGCACATCTATTTCTGTTTGCCCGCAGCGCACCGCAGGCGAGCACAGTCAGCACACCTTCATGGCGGCATTCGGTGGAGCCCACACGACGGTGCTCCCGAACGGCGTTGCGCCTTCTAACGGTAGGCACGTCAAGTAGCAGTAAGCATCGTCGGCAGGTGCCCAGCGGAACACTCTCGTTAACCGGTTTCTTCCAGGGGACCCGAGGGGCGGCCGAGGACGTCGAACATCGATGAGAAATGTGCCTTGTGCTTCTTGCCGCGCGTGCCCGCTGCAGCAAAGGGCTTCTGTTATCTCGTCTCTTACCTACATTTTGATGCTCACCTTTTCCCTAATGCGCCCCCACCTCCCCGCTGGGCTTAGCCGCGGGGAGGTGGCTGGGCTTCGCCGCGGGGAGGTGGCAGGACAGGCATGCACGGCTACAGGATCACCTTCATCAGCCATGAGTCAGTCAGTCAGAGTAGAATCGAGGAGCAGCGGCAACAGCAGCAGCACGATCACGAGCAGGAGGAATCCGCCAGCAGGGGTGGCACTAGCGGGGCATGGAGCAGTTGGTCAGGTCGACCAGAAAGAGCAGAAGACAAAGGCCACTGTCAGCCTTGCGCCACTGCCGTGGAGGTGCCCGAGGAGCATTTGGAGGGTTCGTCGTGTCGGAGCGGGATGCAGGAGCTAAGGAGCGGGCTCTAAACAAAGGCGCAGATGTTGAAGGAGATATGCATCTGGATGTCATCACGTTCAGTGTTACACGGACTGCAGCCACAACGGACCGTTGCCCAGGGGGAGAGTGGAGGAGGAACAGGAAGAGGACGAGCAAGATGAGGACGAGGGTCGGTGGGAAATGGGGGCGATGACGATGTGGAGGAGGATGAGGAACCACAGTAGCGCAGCTGTAGAGGCGAATGAGGCGCACGAGGCGGATTTGAAGAATGGGTCCACCTGCACATGGATTGGATTGTAGGCTTAGCGTCCGTTGAATACGACGTTAGCCCAGGCTCGTTGTATAGGGGGTTAGTCATTATTTTAAATGTGCCTGCGACGGCTTAGCATTTCCTTGACATGTACGACAAAGCGTCCAGGGGAATTGCTCAGCAGGGGGAGATTTTGATTGTCGCTGCGCGACTCGCAATGCGATGATCATTCCGTGTGCCATCTCTCTTGTGGTCTTTTGGTCATGAGTCGCGACGCGCGATCCCCAGGGTAATTTCAGCCGTGTCAGTGCCGCGAGCGACATGACCACTCCGCGCATGAAGGAGAGCGACGTGGCGCACCGTTGGGTAGTGCTCAGAGCCCGGATCGTCTCGGCAGATGTCCCTTCCTGATTATTCTTGCCACAATATTTGTTGGTCATTGATTTGGTTATTGTCGTCAACCCTGCTGTTAGAAGTTTCGGAAACAGCCCACCAGCGTTGTGAGAAGTGCACATGGATCCGCGCGGGCAATGAGGCCAGTATGCGTGCAGGCGTGTGTGCATGTTTGATGTGTGGACGTGGTTTCGTGTCCATGGTGTTTGGCGCGTGTGTGTGCATGCGTGTTTGTGCGTGTGCGTGACGTGAGGTCTGTGTGTGTTTCATGTGATGTGAGGTGAGGTGAGATGAGGTGAGGTGAGGTGTGTGTGTGTGTGTGTGTGTGCCGTGACGTTCTGTGATACGATGCGGTGCGAAAGAGAGAGAGAGAGAGGGAAAGAGAAAGAGAAAGTGAGTGTGTGTATGTGTGGTGTGGTGTGGTGTGGTGTGGTGTGGTGTGGTGTGGTGTGGTGTGGTGTGGTGTGGTGTGGTGTGGTGTGGTGTGGTGTGGTGTGTGCTTGTGCTTGTGCTTGTGCTTGTGCTTGTGCTTGTAGTTGTTCTTGCGTTCGTGTCCGAGTGTGTGTGTGTGCGTGTGTGCGTGTGTGCGTGTGTGTGTGTGTGTGTGTGTGTGTGTGTGTGTGTGTGTGTGTGTGTGTGTGTGTGTGTGCGCGTGCGTGTGCGCGCGCGTGTGTGTGTATGTGCGCGTGTGCGTGCGTGTGCGTGCGTGCGTGCGTGCGTGCGTGTGTGTGTGTGTGTGTGTGTTTGTGTGTGTGTGGGTGTGTGCGTGCGTGTGCGTGTGCGTGTGCGTGTGCGTGTGCTTGTGCGTGTGCGTGTGCGTGTGCGTGTGTGTGTATGTGTGTGCGTGTTCGTGTGTGTGTGTGTGTTTGTGTGTGCGCGCGTGTCCGTGTGTGTGTATGTGTGTGTTGTGTGTGTGAGTGTGTGTGTGTGTGTGTGTGCACTTTGCGTGTGCGCATGCATGTGCGTCTGTTTGGGACAGGATCGACAGTATGGATGTCCGTTGGCCCTCCCGTCGGCAGGCCCCTTGGTGCGAATCAGTATCAGGAGTGCTGGGTGGCACGCGGCGACGTAAGCCGCGTTTGTTCCTGAAGCGTAACGTTCGTCTGCTCCTCCTCTCGTCCTCCTCGTCCTCGTCCTCCTACTCCTCCTCCTCCTCGTCCTCCTCCTCCTCCTCCTCCTCTGTAGATGCTGTATATGATCGCCCATCCTGCCCAACATGCAGTGGAGACCTGCCTTCGCGGACTGACGCCGATCACGAGGCCATGAAGGAGGCGACGCTCGCGGCGACGGTCCTCGACCAAGAGCACGTGAAGGAGAACGAGACGATGGCGGAGGAGGCTTGCGCCATGGACCTTGTTGAATATTCGGTTGTCTGCGAAGTTTCGCTCGACGGGATTGCACACCCGCTTCCGCCTGCCTTTCTCCCCGCTTGAACCACACGGTGATGGATTGGACGAAGATATGGAGACTTTTGGTGGGCACAGTGGTGATGCGGATAACGAAGGGTGATGAGATGGCGACTAGTGATGGCATACCTTCTGGACACGGACTTGGCCCCGATAGTACCAGCAACACGTCTAGCAGCACCGATGGCACGGATCAATTGTTGCGTGCACTTGGGTTTTCATCCATCTACCCTAATGGCTCGGTTGGTGGGCTTGGTGTTGTCCCCCCCTTGGAGTCGACGAGGTGGCTCGAGGTGCTGAGAACCTCGGCGATTCCCCCAGCGGTGGAGGAGAAGATGATGGCTCGAGCCTCGACACATGTCTTATGAAATCTGGTGTTGCGCGAGGGAGTGCTTCTGAATGTTATCCCGCTTCGATAAGTATCTTGGGGTTTCTGAGGTGCTGGTATACGATGGCGACGGACCAGAGTTTTCTGGTGTTGGTGCCGCTGCGTTTCGTGATCTGCTGGAGATGGATGACTGTGCTGACACCGCGGCGTTGGTTCAACGTGGGGGGCCCTGGCAACACGAGTGCGAACCTCCTTGACATGGAGATCGAGGAGCATGCGCCTACAAGTGAGGAGCTGCACCACTGGCACAGCGCGGGATGATGACAATCCCCGTCTCTGTGGCTTTGCTTCTGGTGAACTGCCCCATGCTGAGGACCTTCGTGGTACCGTCGACGGATGCAGTTCTAGTGGGGCTACCTCGTTTGCATCGGGAGTGGTTTGCGGTGGACAGATATATTCTGGAGGTGTTGCTGCAGGAGTGCAGGAGATTTTGATTCCGCCTCCCGCACGCTGTGCTGATCTGGTGGCTTCCCCTGCGCCCGTCCTGAGCGGGACTTCGTCGTGGACAGACTTGATGGCTTATGCGCAGCCTGGTTGCCCTGGTCCAGATGAGCATGGACGTGCTGCTCGCGCTAAGGAGGTTCTCCTTTTTCGTGCGTGTGGACGGGCTCGAAGTCGGATGTCTTCAGTCTTCTTCGCAGACCCTCCTGGGATTGGATTCTGAGACTGGGTGGGATGGTGCGCACAGGATCGCGAGGATGTACTCCGGCACGAGGTGTTCGAAGGACTCTTGAGTGATGACCATCAAGCTAGAGATCGCGCGAGGCGCAGCATGGAGGTGCGCAGGAGGCGCCATGGCGGCCTGATTACATTGGTGGGCTTGGCTGACATGATTGATGGGGACGCGAGTGAAGAAGTACTTCTCGATGAGGCGGAGGACCGCGTTACCCCGTTCCCGGACCACGGTGGAGTCGGTGGATAATGATGGCCTAGATGTTGCGCATGATGATACTGTGGTTCGTGATCAAGCAGCCGTTCGTGGCGATGATTCGCCCCGCGTGGAGCAGAAGGACCCTGGTGCGCAGAACCCGCCGCGTGGTGGACCGGACTCACCATCGGTTGGCGATGCGTCAGATGATTTTGGAGGCGACAGGGGTCAAGGTGAATCATTGAGTGTATGCGATGAAGATGTTGTCGCGAGTTTCTGCAGTCGATGCAGACTGGCGGCGTGCCAGCTCCGTTTGTCATCGCGATCGAACTTGTCGATCAGCTCTGGGCCTTTCTACTGCGTGGTGCGTGGCCGCTCGTCTTCTTGCCCTTCTTCCCCCATGGGCCCCCCACGCCGCGCGATGGGCAGGCCCCCGCCAACTTTTCTTCAAGATCCTGGAGCTGATGAAGCACGGCGCGTCGTCAATCACTTGGAAGGCTTCGCGGAGCAATAGTTCTGCATGACTGAAAGTGAGGTTTGGCAGGGCCTCGATTGTTGGGTGGACTGGTGCGCGCCATGCATGGTCCTGCTGCTCGACGCGCCCCGATCGGTTGAGCCTGCGTCGAGGGTGGCGGCACCGCCCGCTCGCTCTGGCTTGGGACATTTGCGAGGCCGTCTGAACTCATGCATCGCCGGTGCTGTGCGCAGGAGGCCCATGGAGACCGCCGCGAATCTTTCCCTTGTCTTCCAACTGGCAAAGGGCCGTGGGCTCACATTCGGAGGCCTTCTTGAGGCGGACAAGGCACGCAGAGATCAGGGGCGTGCCCGAACCGACGAGACTGCCCATCATCATGCTGACGGCCCCCCGCCGCCGCCAGACCTACCACTGCTGGACAACGAGGCCCTGAGAACCAAAACCTCAGGGTGGACCCGTCGACTCATGGGGGCTCGGACTCCGACGTCAGAAGCCCCATCGCGATGAGAGCTGCGCAGGTGAAGGACCAGGATGACGCGATGTATCTGGGTGTTCGGGCGAGCTTGATGGAGGTGAACGTTTCTGAAGAAGCGCCCCATTGTGTGGAAGACGAGTCGGCGCTGCCGCTCCCTAATCACAGTGGGCGAAATGAGTGCCAGGGACAAGGTGGCTGCGACGATTGACTTGCTGATGGCGGGGGTTTTGACCAAGCATTTTGCCGTGGTGAAGCCCATCGACGCGCAGAGCAGCTCGAGCTTGCGATTGAGCAACAACCTTGTGGTAGCCCTTCCTCTCCTTCTGGAAGCGCGTTGTCTGGTGAGGGTGACGCATGTGCGCGGTTTGGTGAGTAGGTGCTGAACGCGGACTCCATCCCCGAGGTGATCTTGGCAGCACTCCCGTCTTCGGTGGAACCCGATGCGAAGACTGCACCCAGCTCAAAGGGGGTTGTAGCACACATCGCGGAGCAGTGGATCACCCGCATCTTCTACCCAGACGAGCACGTTGACTCGTTCCAGCACCGGTTGGCGCGGTGCTCCCCGTTCGCCGAAGCCCACCTTCAACGTCCAGAGTACGATCATGCCGTCGCGAACGCCGACAATGATATTCACTGTGATATCCTCCACCAGCTTACAGAGGAGCTCCGCACAAACGCTTGGTCCTTGGGTGCCCAGCAGAGGGGAGCGCCGACCGCAGCTATCAACCGACAAGGATCCGACGCCTGTGAAGGTGACCTGGCCAGACGTCGGGCTCGGTACGACTGCCGCTTCGTTCGTCCTCCTAGACTGTTTTCAGCTCTTGAACAAGATGACGATGCTCCACTCCATCCCGAACCACAAGATCCACTTGATCAGTCAGACCATCCTCACGACTGGCAAGATCGGCTTCTGCTTTTCGGATCGGTTCAAGTACTTCAACGGACCCACGGGAACCACGTCCCGATGGATGAGGTCGACACGTCTGGGGTCGGGGGTTGGCTGGAGATTCCGACCCCGCGCCCCCCGACACAAGGGCCTTCGATTGCACCTGTTGCGTCAGAGCTTGTGGGAGCAGGTGACGTGCTTCGTTCCAGCGACAAACTGACATACCTCGTCGACGCTGCGAGCGCAGACGACCGCGGAGCCAATGTCGGCGACGCCCACTTCACCATGACGGACAGATCCCCTTTCGAGGATCTGAGGTTTGGCCCCGCTGGGGCTGCAGGCGGCGCGCGCGGCGCGGCCCAATTGGAGGATGTACGCCCCCCTCCCTATGGCGCGGGATCCGCTTCTTCCTCCTCCTCCTCCTCCTCCTCCTCCTCCTCCTCCTCCTCCTCCTCCTCCTGCTCTGCAGCCCCTGCACCTGCCCAACTCCCTCCCTCCTCCCTCCCTCCCTACCTCCTCCCCTCGCGAGGCCTCCACGCTGGCCTGCTCGTCCCAGCCGCTGCAGTCGGGAGGCGCCTCTCCCCGCAGCGGGCCCCCGGCGCCGCCAGCGCCACAGCGCGTCAGCGGCCCCGCTGCCGCAGAACCCCAGAGAGGCGCACCTGAGGCGTGGGGCGGGCGGAGAGATTGGTGATGCTGGTGGTGGTGGTGATGATGATGATGATGATGATGATGATGATGATGATGATGATGATGATGATGATGATGATGATGATGTTGATTGATGCTTGATGCTTGGTGGATGGTGCTTGATGCTTGATGCTTGATGATGACGGTGGTGGTGATGATGATGCTGATATTGAAATGATGATGATGACATGATGACATGATGAAGATATGATGATAAAATGGTGATGAAATGATGATGAGGTGGTGATGGTGATGAAATGACGATGGCATGATGATGATGAACTGATGATGATGATGATGATGATGATGATGATGCTGCTGATGATGATGATGATGATGGTGATGATGCTGAAGGTGATGGTGATGATGATGGTGCTGACGATGATGAAGATGGTAATGGTGATGATGCTGATGATGATGATGGTGATGAGGATGAGGATGAGGATGAGGATGAGGACGAGGATCAGGATGAGGATGAGCACGTGCATGTGCATGAATACGAGCATGAGCATGAGGATGAGGATGAGGATGAGGATGAAGATGAGGACGAGGAGGAGGACGAGGACGAGGATGAGGACGAGGACGAGGATGAGGCTGAGGATGCGGATGAGAATGAGCATGAGGATGAGGCTGAGGCTGAGGCTGAGGCTGAGGATGATGATGATGATGATGAGGAGGAGGAGGAGGAGGAGAAGGAGGATGAAGATGATGATGGTGATGATGATGGTGGTGGTGGTGGTGAGATGATGATGCTGATGATGATGATGATGCTGATGATGATGGATTCGAGGATAGAGGGTTCAGGTGTTTGAGTCTTTCTGTCTGAGTCTTTCCGTCGGTTCTGATTCATCCAACCCAGTCAAACCGTAGAAGAAATCAGTAATGGCACAATCATCAACTTTCGGAGGTCCTCGCGGATTTCTTGGATCGGCACTGGGCCTCCCTGCCGGCGCCTCGGGCGCCGCCCCTGGCGCGCTCCGCGCGCCGTGGAGGGAGGCACAGCGCCGATGCAAAAAATCGGTGCGGACCTCCGACAATGTACGTTTACTCCGTTTTGTCTTCGAGAGCCATCGTGGTGGGCCCAGTCTTGGCGAGCGGGCACCAACCCGAGCGACATGAGTCCAATCACGGCGACAGGCGGAAATGAAAGGGACCAGTCCCGGCTCCCCGTACATGGTCGTAAACGGATGTGATGTGCAGGGGTATGGTGCCAATGCTGAATAAGAATGGCGATGTTCTCTACGATAGCCGCAAGTGCGTTGCATCCCAGGTTCAAAACTGTTGACTTTGAGTCGACCAATTCAAACAACGTCCCAATTCCCGATTCCCAAACTCCCCAAACGACCGCTGTCCAATTTGAACTGCGACACAATAGGCCCATGCAGGCACGCAATTCTACAGATTCCTGAATTTCCAGAACCCACTTCCGAAACGAGACTCATGCCTAGTATTTCTACATTCCGGAATTTGTGGAATCGACATTGGATATCCGGGATTTCGCTTTTTCGCGAATCTGAATTTCCAGAATGTTGTTCTTGGTGAACGTGCGTCTTGGAGCAGACTTTTGTGCCGCCGTTCGCATAGGTAGGATTGCGGTCGTTTGGGAGAGCTGGAACCATGAATTATGATGTTATTTGAAACGGTCGGCGCAAAGGCGATTTCTGCAAATTCGGAATGCGATGCGCTTGCGGCTATCGTATGTAGCACGCCATTTCCAGCACTGGCACCACACCCCTTTGCACCACGCCCTTTCACGAGGTGTCAAACATGTATGTGTGTGCCCATTTACATGCGTCGGTTCACTTAGGTGTTCTGTGTTGCTACTCCAGAACTGAATGCATGCATTGACGTTTGCTTTGTGTCGCAATAGTTACTCTGTCACTAATGAGAGGCATTGCATATTTCAGCATGTTCGCACTGGTCGTGCGATTGCGTCTGCTCATCGATATCTAAGCTTCTCCGAAATCTTCAAACCGTCTCCCAGGTCGCATCAGATACCTGAATTGTCTTCGAGGGCATGGGTGGATTGAGATGCCCCTTCAAGGATCTTCGAGGATGCCTCCGAAGTGCTTCAACGACCTTCAGACACTTCGCAAACGGCCACATATTTTCTACGATCGCAGAATATCGCAGAATACGACAAAATATCTGCAAGGTCCCACTGGACGCTCAAGGTTTTCGAAAGCTCACTGGCCCTGCAACGCGCAACGAGTGCAAACCATGTGGTACAAGCTTCACATAGCGCAAAGTACGTGGTGTAATCTCTGTGCTGGAATATACGTGTTGCCATATGTGTGGTGTTAGATGTCGCGATCTTCGTTGTATAACTTATGCAGTACAGCCCATCTGATGCTATCTGTCTGGTTCAAGCTGTAAGGTCTCTCGTGCCCTTTGTTTCGATGTCTTGTACACATTCCCTACCTAGGCTCTGCCTAGAAGGATTCTTACTCTCTTGGCTTAAAGGGCCGGGCAGTGGGAACCGGCCCGGGCGGTTCCCCCAATATCGGCCCCGCGGTTCCCCCAGTTACGTCCCCTTAGCTTAGCGTTGCTTATCTCATCTTAGCTTAGCTTATTTCATCTTAGCTTAGCTTAGCTTCATCTTAGCTCAGGTTTAGCTTAGCTTAGCTTACCTTCATCTTAGCTTCGCTGAGCTTTAGCATAGCAGAGCACGGCATAGCATAGCATAGCGTAGCATAGCATAGCGCAGCATAACATATCATAGCATAGCCCAGCATAGCATATCATAGCGCAGCATAGCATAGCATAGCATAGCGCAGCACAGCACAGCATAGCACAGCGCAGCATAGCATAGCATAGCAGAGCAGAGCATAGCTTAGCATAGCATAGCGCAGCATAGCATGGCATAGCATAGCATAGCATAGCGCAACATAGCATAGCATAGCATAGCATAGCATAGCGCCGCATATCATAGCATAGCATAGCATAGCGCCGCATACCATATCATAGCATAGCCTAGCATAGCATAGCATAGCGCAGCATAGCATATCATAGCATAACGCAGCATATCATAGCATAGCCTAGCATAGCGCAGCATAGCATAGCATAGCATAGCGCAGCATAGCATAGCATAGCCTAGCATAACATAGCGCAGCCTAGCATAGCCTAGCATAGCATAGCATAGCATAGCGCAGCATAGCGCAGCATAGCATAGCATAGCATAGCATATCATAGCATAGCATAGCGCAGCATAGCATTACATAGCATAGCATAGCATCAAAGCAAAGGCAAAGCAACAGCAGCAACAGCAAAGCACAAGCAACGCAAAGCAAAGCAAAGCAACATCAGAAGCAAAGCAAAGGAAAGGCAAAGCAAAAGCAATGTGCGACAGGTGCCGAGCTAGCCTCGATGGCCGGACCGGAGCCCCCGATGGAGATGTTGCTTTCCTAGATGCTCCAACTCCTAGGTAGGGCCGCACTGGGATAATCTGCTTTATTTACGCACCATCGTGCCCCAAGTCGCGAGGTGGATTGCCTTCAGGGACCTTAGAGCTCCCCTTGTTGAGTATCTTACGTGCTGTCTAATGTTCCAGGCCCAGATCTCTAGAATTCCTCGACGCCGTGGCCCATGTGAGCCCCTGGTGGCGTGGTGGTTTGGTGTTCGGAGTTGCGGGTAAGGTGTTAGGCGTTTGGAGTTTGGTGAATGTTTGGGGGAGGGGGGTGTATCGGCGATGGTCTTCTGGCGCTGGGCGGTTGGGGCTGGGTGGTGTTTGGTCGTCGGCGTTCGGTGGCGAAGGGTGTGTTCGCTCGATCTATGCGAGCGCCGGGCCCGCGGCAAACAAGTTCGGTGGCGAAGTCTAAGAATCGAGAATTCAGCCAGGACTTGGTCGTTTTAGCCAGGTTTGGATCGACTGAGCAAGGGCTGGGCCGAGTTCGCTGGGATTGGCCCCAAAATCGAGGAGCTATCCCCTTCCCCACGCGGGGCAACCGTGGCCAGGTTGGGCGGACGTAAGCATCCTCTTTCCGACCTTGGCAGCCATGGTGAAGAATCGTGGTTTGTGCCACTCGCACGGTGGCAAGATGTGCCGATTATCTTCCTCCTCCTCCTTTTCCCCCTCCTCCTCCTCCTCCTCCTCCTCCTCCTCCTCCTCCTCCTCCTCCTCCTCCTCCTCCTCAGGTCATCATCATCATCATCATCATCATCATCATCATCATCATCATCATCATCATCATCATCATCATCATCATACCCTGCTTCCATGTCGGTGCTTTCGCAGTTGGGGATAAGGTCCCTCCCCCCCCTCGTTCAATACCAAACAAGACGCGGAGGGAGCCTCAGCGTCACTACTCATTTGAATCAGTCATATAATGGTTGCATGACTCGTCCCCCTGGGTACGTGGGCTCCTCCTTATACCCTGGGGCGGCTTAGAGCTTCGACACGGAGATCGAGGATGGTGCGCTCTCTCGTCGTTCAGGGGTCTCCGCTGGGCATCGTGGGTCATACTCGTTGAAGCTCCTGGGGCCCCTCATAAGAGCTGATGCTGTGGAGAAACTGGTTCGCCTCAGGGGTGCGGTTTTTTTTTCTCCCCCCCCTCTCTCCTCCCCGCGTCGTGTTCGCTGCGTCTACTTGTTTTCTCTTTCGGGGTGTGGCTTGTCACTGACCCACTGTGGGATGGCGCCCCACATATGGGTGCAGAAAGGTCATCTCCGATAGCCGCACCCTGTCTTTTCTCCATCTGACCTCTGACCTTTCTTGTGACAGTGTTACTCTTCCTGCTCCTCCTTCTCCTCCTCCTCCTCCACCTCCCTCCTCCTCCTCCTCCCTCCTCCCTCCTCCTTCTCCTCCTCCTCCTCCTCCTCCTCCTCATCATCCTCATCATCATCATCATCATCATCATCATCATCATCATCATCATCATCATCATCATCATCATCATCATCATCATCATCATCAATCATCATCATCCATCATCATCATCATCATCATCATCATCCTCATCATCATCATCATCATCATCATCATCATCATCATCATCGTCATCATCATCATCATCATCATCATCATCATCATCATCATCATCATCATCATCATCATCATCATCATCATCATCATCATCATCATCCCTCCTCTCTCCTCCCTCCTCCCCCCTCGCCAGAAGAACGCGAAAGTCGTGGGTCAGCCGTCGATGCGCCCCGTCTCCTCCCCGTCCACGGGTTGCCCGGGGCAGGGGCCTGCTCGGCCCTGTGCTCCGACGGGCTCCAGCGCGCGGAGCCGGCAAGGAAGCCGCAAGGGCGCCCTGAAGGGCGCGAAGGTGGTCGCGCTGCGCGGTTCGGCTCCTCCTCCTCCTCCTCCTCCTCCTCCTCCTCCTCCTCCTCCTCCTCCTCCTCCTCCTCCTCCTCCTCCTTCTCATCTCGGAGAAGAAGAAAACGAAGAAGAAGAAGAAGAAGAAGAAGAAGAATAAACGCTATAGACATAAACTGTTGGCGCTCCGCGCGGATTTTTTTAATCCGCGCTGGGCCCCCCTGGCGGCGCCTCCGGCGCCGCCCCTGGCGCGCTCCGCGCGCCAGGGAGGGGGTCCAGCGCAGGTCCAAGAAATCCGCGCGGAGCGCCAAAGATTTATGTTGATGCCGTCTGTTCTTGCTCTGCAACCCGCTGGATGAAAAAGTGGAGACCGTGGGGATCGAGGAAGACACGTTTGGCCTCCCGTTCGGCCGCGGGGCCCCGGCCGAGACTTCCTCACAGAAATTTCCAGATTGCTTCAGCGCGCTGGCGGCGGGGCAGGTTCGGCTCCAGTTCCTCCTCCTCCTCCTCCCCCCCCGGGGGCGGCGCGAGAGCGCGAAGTGATTCGCGCTTCGCGCCGCACGGCGCGCGAAGTTGGTCGCCCCTCGAAGTCGCGTCGAAAACTGCCTGTCTCGCCATGAAGGAAGCGGGTCCCGAGGTGTTTTGCCGTTCTCGGAGTGTCGGGAGCCTCCCCTGGCCCCCCAGGATCGTCAGCGCTGTGTCTTGTTTTTCGTTGAGCAAAACGAAACACAAAACGACAACAAAACGAAACACAACGTTTAGGTCCAGCCCTGATCACCAGGAAAAGACTCGGGATGCAAAGCTGGTCCTGGTATCCAGCTCCCTGTCTCCCCCCTCCCTTGGGGACGAATCAGCGGCATAAACATACACTCTCGACGGTCCGCGCAGATCTCTTGGATCTGCGCTGCTGCTGGGGGGGGCCCACGCACAGCGCAGATCCAAGACATCCGCGCGGACCGTCGAAACATTATGTTTACGCCGCTTTGTTTTCCCCTACTCCCCTCCCAGTCCCCAGTCTGCTTCCCTCCCTTCTGCTCCCCTTCTGCTCCCCCTCTGCTGTTTACGCCGCTTTGTTTTCTCCTACTCCCCTCCCTTCTGCTCCCCCTCTGCTCCCCCGTGGCCCGTGTACATTGCGCAGGTATGTCCTGACAGGACTCTCGGATTGCGTACTCCCAGGGGAGTGGCACGGCGAGGTGCGACGCGCGGTGAGAGCGCAGCATCAGAAGAGCGGGAAGAGT